GGCTCTGACCAAGAAGCCTACGAAAGGCGTACAAACCTTCAGCAGGGCACAGGTTCTATTTTTCAAATGTATTTCGGTAAAAATATTTCTCTTCTTAGACTAATGTTCAGGAAATATGGCAAATGTGTCTTTATACAGGATTTTGCAAATAGTAAGCGTTCAATAAACATTTCTTTAAAAAGAAAATTTACTCTTCATACTATAATAAGAAATCTCAATTATAATTATTAACTCAGCTAAACAAGATTAAAATTTAAAAAAAAAAAAAAAACAATTCAAATGTATTTTGATTTATTGCCCAAAAACAAAATTCTGAGAAATTTCTACCTGTGCTTTAATGATATGCATGAACCTTGACATCAACTCCGGACATTCAAGGAGGAAATGGAAGTGGTCAAATATAATTTTGGGATTTCTGAAAGAAAGAAAAAAATGTGTTTAAGTGCACCGGAATGAAAATTCAGAGATACAGTTGTTGAAGCAAAAGAAAAACACTTATACAGATCTATACTTACTACACTGTCACTTAATATTGAAATAATAATTTCTGAATAGTAATAAGTGTGACTATTTTTCTGTTGAGAAGTAACTATAAGAAAGAGTACTTTAAGAATCCAGCAATGGCTACCTGTTAACAAAGCACTTTAGAACTTCATCATGTTTGCAGACAAATTCAATGAACCGGGGGGAAGTCATTCTGTGAAGGATAAAAAGCGTAATTAGACCACATAGATTAAAATATGATGATATAAAAAATATATATGATGATATAATATTAAAAATCTGACTGATGTCTAAACAAAACAAAAGCAAAATCAATGATTTTTGCATCTCCTTTCTACATTTATGAAACTAAACTAAGTATTGTCTACTCAATTTATAAAGTGAAATAAAACATGCACTAATAGCATCTCATCAGTAGATGTTATATAAACAAGTACCTTTTTGTAAATCTTGAAATGCTAAGCAGCACTGGCTCTGTACACTTCAAGCACATAATTAAGACATCCTACAGAAAGTGACATTTAACTATTCTACTTGGTAATAACTTTCTTATCATTTGCTGGAAATTCAAATACTTTTAGGTAGGATTCTAGAGTCATACAATTGGCATCTTAAAACATGATCAGAATACAACCTAAATCAATAGAACTCATTATTTGTTGCTATTCAAATAAAACCACCTTAATTGTTCTTCCCACATCAGAGAACAGCAGGCACAGCCTTCTTACCCTGGAGGCATCTGACAGGAGCAGCACATGTAAAAGGCTTGAATGACAGCACTCAGCCGGTTTGCTGTCATAGAAATAACATCCTGACAATCCGCACTGGCTTCCGGTGTCTCTGCAAGAGCATCTGGTTGAGATTCCCTGGTGCCAGTGGCTAGCTTGTCATAGCTCTCAGGGCCTGGAGTTTCAAATGGAGGGATGGAAGTAGCATCTTGATGATCTTGGCCTTTCTGTTTCAGTAAAATCGAAGTAATATCTGCCGAGTCCTTCTTGTTTTTCATGAATTCTGTGGCTATTAAAACTAACCACTCGTCTAAAGCGTGCCAAAGCAATTCCAAAGGCTAAGGGAACAAGGAAAACAAAAGTTTCCTGGGGATTTCTAGCACCGTTATTTCAACTCCAGAATATGTAAACCCACACAGTCAAGAAAAGATATCGATAAAGAACGAATTTGCTCAAGATACTTGTATTTTCTCAAGTAAAGTGACAGTGATGCCAAATGATAAGTAGCAAAACTATATGAATGCCATAAAAACCAATTTCTTCACTCACAGCAAAAAATCCATTTGCATTTATCTATTCCTTGCAATAAAGGGTGAAAAACTAAACTCTGAGAAGAATGGCACTCTTAAAAGCAATCTTACTTCTTTTACTCTTCAAATACTTAGATAATTAAAAAACAAACAAACACAAAAACGCCCAAAGTACTTAAAAAACATTTAATTTACTATGTCCCGTGCCTTATATCAGAAGCTCTGGTAGCACAGTGAGTTACGAGTTGAGATGTTAAGCCACATGGTCAGCAGTTTGAAACCACTAGCAGAATGTCAAGGCGAGTCTGAGCCTGTAAGATTTACAGCCTCCTAAACCCAACGGTTTGCGTTGGTTTCCTTATACGTAATATGTCTAGATTTTGACAATTTACAAGAAACAAAAACCAAAAAGGGCTCACTGCCATTGACTCGACTCTGATTCACAGCAACACTATAGTACAGAATAAAACCGACCCTGTGGGTTCCTGAGAACAGAACGCCATCACGGGAGCAAAAAGCCTCATCTTTCTCCCTCCAAACAGCTGGTGGCTTTGAACTGCTGGCCTGTGGTTAGCAGACCAACAGTAATCCAGTAGGTCACCAAGGAACCTAGTTTCTGACAAGTGTATCCACATACATAAAAATGCTTCTACACACGCACCACTAATCCCTAATAACTAATCATTTCAAAAACAAGTACTAAATTTCCCAAACTGCTAGTGAAACATTAGCTAGAACCGTGGTCCTCAACCTTCCTAATGCCACAGTCCTTTCATACAGTTCCTCGTGTTGTGGTGATCCCCCCC